AGGTGCATCCACATTTTTTTGGGGAAGAGGGGTATCATATGTTCTTCTCAATTTATTCCATGTATCAGATGGTTAAAACTGTAGAGTTTATAGACAGCTGATCAGGATGTTCTGCCCCCTGCTGACTCCATTGAGGCATCAATTTCTAGATAAATCTGAATTCAGTAAAAGTCTGGAATTAAAAGAAGGCTTCATGGCAACCATGTAAACATTGCTGATTGTAAAAACCCATCCGTTTCAGTAATGTCCTTTAGGGAAGGAAATCTGCCACAGACACTCAGGAATGTAACTGTCTCTTATCTAGTCTCTGAAATAGCCCAACAAGCCATTCAGTTTAAGGGCAATTGGGGATGGGCAATAAATGCCGTCTTAACCAGCGACAGCCTCATCCCATTAGCTAATAAAGAAAAGGTGGCTGTGGAGATTAGCTCCTGTAATCAGCTCAAGAAAACACAGAGGCTGAATGACCTGCTGTGCTCTGCCTGGCTATATACCACTGTCTACTCAATGCACCATGCTCCTGTGACTGTGAGTTGGCATATAAATTTACCACTGCACAGGATTGCCACATACAAGATTGGGGCCAGCTATTTCCATCAGATTAATCACATTTATCACTTCATTGCAGCTATAATTTAACACTCTTTGCATCACAATTATACTGTCTCTCACACATCTTTGTGACTTCACACTTAAAACATAAAAGGAACTACAATAACTCAGCAGCTCACACACCCTCTGGTTCACTAACGTCCTTTAGGGAAAGAAACTGCCATTCTTACCTGGTCTTGACTACATGTAACACCAGACCTATAGAAATGTAGTTGACTCTTATCCTCTGGGAAATTAGGGATGGGCAATGAAAGCTAGCTAGCAATGCCCACATCCTCTGAATGAATTAAAAAAAAAACAGCTCATTGACCTTTCTTTACAACTAGGAGAATATACACATCTGACAGGTGCCCAAAAGCTTGCATGGCAGAAGGACACCATCACAAAAGACGGCAATATGACTAAGACCTCATAAGTATTTCAGGCAGAAACATCATATAATGACTTCCTGTTTTTTTTTAGTAACCGTAGCTGTTTGACAACACCTCTCATTCAAAAGCTGGTAACACCTGACTTTCCCCATACCACATTCTTCTTATGAATAATACACACAGACAATCATAGCTCCAGGGACTGACATCTCTAACTGTTTCTAATGCAGGCGAAGTACTCATGTACCAATGTCTAGTAATGTTTCTCACCTTCTATCAAAGAATGCACACAACCACTGCAAAGCTACTCAGACAGAAGGATGGTGTTAGACGTACATCATTTGGCTTCCTTTGAGCAGCAGGCACCAATCTGGCAACAGAGCAAGGGGAGTACGCCTCTGTGGAAAGGAAGATTGTATGTCTACAGCCATTTGGAGAGAAAGCTCCAATCTGGTACTCCCAGCTGCACATCAAACAATGACATCTTAAAAGAAAATCTTGGGTAAGGGTAGCAACATAGGACATTAGAAAATCTTGGTGTTTTTCTAAGCAGCCTCCAGAAAGAATTCCCAGGCCTGATCAAAAGTAAATGGAAAAACAAACCTCAGACACAACGTGCGATTCTACCAGCACCATGAAGCAGAACTCTGAGGAGGAACAGTTGGTCAGCTCAGACGATGTACTGCCAATGCCTCCTCCTCACCCTTGCACAGACTGGAGTGAAGGGCAGAGTGCTGTTCAGGGCTTGATAAAGATCAACCTAGGAGCTGAGGTTCTTTTTCTTTTGGTCCCTGCTTGGGTGTCGGGTCTGGAGACTGCAGAGAAAACCACAAAGAGTTGTGCTTGTCATGAGCTACCACCCTTAACCCAGAATTTATTAATACGTTGCTGTTTGATATGCAGCTGGCAGTAACTGCTCGGAGGATTTTTCTTTCGCTAAATGGCTATAGGTAGCTAAGCTCCCCTTCAGCACAGATACATTCCTCTCACTTTACTGCCAGATCAGCAATGGATGGAAAATGGATGTGAAGCCAAATGTCGGGCATTCACTGTCCTGCACCACTGCATCACGCCCCCACCCCGAATCCCACCACTGCCTCTCCAACAACGTCCAGTTCTGTGCACATTTTTCTCCAGCTGATGGAGAGAAACACTAAGGGACATTAGCATCAACACATGAGCAAGATGTTTGCCTTGATGTTACTCCCCAGAGCTGTAATCATCCAAGTACTCCACTGGCAGTAAGAATATGGTATGACGGATATTTGGAGTTAAAGGTTTCTAATTGAAAGATGATACAATGTTACCAAAGAGCTAGAGTTGGTGTGAATTAGTAAATAATTATGTGACAATGTGTGCCTGAGATATCTGTGAGGTGTTCATCCCGAAGCTATCCTTTGTGATAATGTCCTTGTCCCATGCAAACCTGTGGTAAAAAGCTATCAGATGTGTATGTTTCCTAGGTGTGACAAAAAGGTTAGTGACCTGATGGTGCATGAGCTGCTGAGTGTTGTAGCTCTTTACTGTTTTTAACTGTGAATTCTGGCAAATGTATGAGAGGCAGTACCACTGTATGCAAGAAGTGCTACATTGGTAACTCCAAAGAAGTGACATGTATTGATTACACATGAGGCTTCTGTTGGAGTTGACTGGCACCCAATCTCTTGTGTGTGAGAATCCTGTGCATTGTCAAGCTTACAATGCTATCTCACAGGGACATGAAGCATTGAGTAGTCAGTGGTACATACCTTGGCAGAGCACGGATGATTATGCATCCTTTTCTGGTAGGGGAGCCATCCACAGGCACTGAACAACACAGCCACCTCTGCTACTGTTAGTCGGGATGGCCTCTTTTTCCTTCCCTAGGGAAAAGATCTTCTTGGAATGCCTTCAGGTGAACTTCTAGGGAGGCTCTAAATTGTGGCACTGCTTTTTACTCAATCCCTGACATTTTTAAATTTTATTTCATATATTCATTCATGGGATGAGGGTGTTGCTGGCTTGGTCAACATGTAATACCCATCCCTAATTGTCCAGAGGGCAGTTAAGAGTCAACCACATTGCTGTGGGTCTGGAGTCACATGTAGGCCAGACCAAGTAAGGATGGCAGTTTCCTTCCCTAAAGGACATTAGTGAACCAGGTGAATTTTTCTGACAATCGACAATCGATTCATGGTCATCATTAGATTCTTATTTCCAGATTATTATTGAATTCATCTGCCATGGCAGAATTCTCCAGGACATTATCTGGGTCTCTGGATTAACTGCCAGTGATAATACCACTAGGCCTTTGCCTCCCCAACAATTTCTGGGTGGTTGAGAGTGATGAGCCTGGAAAAGTGAAGTGCTGTCTGGTGTCTCTTAAATATGTTGCTTGGAAGTTGGAACTGGGAAGGTCCTGGTAAGGGACAAACCTCCTGCTCACTTGCACATAGAACATGAAGTTTTACCCCATGCATGTATATGCAATGAACTGAGAAGAACATAACTGTGTGAGAAAGCCCAACCTGATCCGAGTGGATATAACCCCCACTTTCAGACGTCCTCTACAATTAGTTCCAAATAAACAAGATTCAGTCCAATGTGAGCAAATTATACAGGAAGAATGAGCATGTGGCTTTTGTAAGACTGTAGACTTCTCCATAATGCAGGATGCCATTGGCAGTTTTCTATTACTTAGTGGGTGCTGTTAACTGACTGTGTAATGTGGTGGAAGGGAAGGAAATTCCAGATCTTCAACATCCAGCTGGTCTATGACCATAGGCAGCAAATCCTGAAGGTGATAGATAACTCATGATGCTTTCATTCTGCTGTGATCAATTGCGCCATCTGAATTTGTGCTATTTTGCAAATCAAAGAGTTGTCTATCAGGCAACAAGGATAATCAACTGATGGTATGGCTCTCCAGTACGCATGAAACGAAAACTGTGCTGTCACACAAAGTGATAGACCACCCCCTTGGCACGCTGAAACAATATTTCCTTTCTGCAGACTGCTGTGGAGGAAGTATACGTTGTTCAGCAGAGGGGTTGCCAGATTCAGGGTGGTCTGCTGCATGTTGTGTAATCTTTTCTCTATGAGGGGACAGCCCTTGCCACCAGCTAAGCAATGAGCAGCTGAGCAAGCAGAACATGATGAGGGCAAATAGAGGGCAAGGAAGGGAGGTTGGAACTTAGACAAGCTCTTTCTGTCCTGGATCGAGTTCAGCACCATTATTTAAAACTCAAACTCCCCATTCACCACAGTCTCAGATCATACAGTGACCATCACAATATCTGCTTGGCCACAATATTATGTATGAGTCCTGATTAAAGAAGTTAGTGAGTGGTAAGAATATAGTAATGAGTAGTATCTGAGGCTGGTTATGAGGATATGGCATTTGAAAATGTATTCGCTGATTTTGACCACTTATGTCAGTTATTGAACTTCTAGTTATACTACATCCACTGCTTACTCCTGGCATTGATCTCAGAGCTATCTGTTCCCACCACTTTTTGAACTTGTGATCACACGGCCAGCAGCTGGAGAACATCTCTCCTACTTTTCATTTCTTCCACCAAGACCTTAGTGCAGTCATCTTAAAAACCTTGACCCATGCTTTCCTCTTGTCAGTGTTTCCCTGGTAGGGTTCTCTCACCCACTATTTCTAATTCTTGCTCCAGCAACAATATACCTTTCATTTAAGCAATGCAATTTAGACCCAAGTGTTGCCAGTAAGTTATGAAACTGGATCACATCCAGAGTTCTATAGCCAACAGTAAACGCAGAAATCTTTTTGAATGATCAGGCAGCATGGCGTTTGCTTTTTTGCCCCATTTCAGTGCATAGCTGCAGGTGAATCACACATTTTCACATGTTTTCAGGGGCTATCCACCATTGGATCTATTTCACAGGTGCAACAGATGGCAGTAGTAAAATAAATGTGAGAATTCTGGGCTTAACACCTTGGTGAATGAGTACAGTGGCACTGAGAATGCTTATCTCTCATTTTTGTGGGTTTTTTTTCATTCCTTTCAGGCCTATCAGTGAGAAAGCAGATCAGCCAGAATATGGAGATTATGAAGGAACAGAGGGCCAAGAAACAGTTGAAAGCACGGTACAAGGCAGTAACAGTAAAGAGTCTTGCAAGCAGGGCCTTCCTTTTGAACTTTACATCTCTGAGTCTCAGGATGAGGCTTACTATGGAGAGACGGAGAGTGACACAGATGCTTTGGGGAAGAAAGAAGAAAACCAGAGACAGAACGTCTCTAGCTTGCTTTTGAAAGAATGTAGCGCTTCTGGAGAATCCCGGCAGGACCCTAAATGGAAAGAGAAGAGAGGAGCCCAACAGACGGCCATGGTGGAACTCCAGTTGTCCTTGGCTCAAGGGAAGCTTGGTGATCCAAACACAACTGCTATTACAATCATTGGGGCGGAAAAAATCCATCCTGCAGCCAGAGAGCCAACCGTGCTGTATGAGAGTATCCAGAAAACTGAATCAGCAGCATCAGAGACTAATGGAAATGTTACAACCCGGACAGTCTCGACTACTATATCACAGCAGAGCAGGAGTGACAAAAAGGTCAAGCTAGTCGAAAGTGAGCTACAAGGAACAGAAGCGGATTCATATCAGTCTCGGGTGGAGCTGTCTTTGGATTCCTCGGACAGAGAGCACAGTGGAAGGGAAGCCTCCACGTCCGAAGTTGGTAGCGCATGTGCTGACTCGTTGGCTGAAGACGGACAGTCAAAAACACGTAGCACTCCTTCTTTCTCGGTTGGGATTTCATCAGAGGGAACAGAGCACGGATCAGAGGGGACACGCTCTGGGAAGGATTCTGCAAGAACACACAAACACCGGGCCAGGCAAGCCAGTGAGTACAACTCCTCTTGTTAATTTACACAAAAGGAAATGTTATGCTGTTAATTTTATTTCTCCTTCAGGCTTTTAACAGGTCCAAGGAGACAGCGTACTAACGTGTTACTTGTAGCATTAAATAGCAACAGATTCGAGCTAAAAGGCTGCAGACTGATGATGCTTGCAGAACTGAGTTTGACAGACACAAGCAGTTGTAATTCTGGGAGTTATCTGATCCTCTGAAATGGCAAATCTTTACTGCAGTGGAAAGCGAACTCAGAACCTTGCCTGTCTTGTGTTCGGGCGGTCAACCTTTGATACTGTAAGCATAGTAAGATTTTTACCTAAACCCATTTGGGTTGAATGCTGTTAACAGATTATTAAATGGTATTTTCAGTGTTTCCTACTGCAAGGGTACATAGATGATACAAGAACTAATTTACATTTGAATGATTCATTTACTTTGCCACTATATATTGGCCATTCAGTAAAACACCCAAAACTCATGTATTAAGCACGTGGTAATCTAGGTATATTACGCGTTTGACATTGCTTTGAATCTGGTTATTAATTATTGCATTCCTCTTGTGAGTGTTTGAGTTTAAGAATTTTGTAGACTTTGAAGTTATTCTGATTAAGATTTGGTAAATTATTCAGGTTTCTGTGCAATGGTTAAACAATTAATGGCTGATGATCACTAATTATTTGCAACTTGATCTGTGGTTCTGCTTGGAAATTCAAGGGATCTAAGTATTATATGGGTTACTGAAACAATAGAATCATTTTAATTGAATTCATTCACAGCAAATGAATGCACAGGTCATCCAATTTCAATGCTTGCCAAATATTATAATTTCTCTACTGTACAAAATCAATTTAAAGTACCTTTACAACTGAATTATTTCAAGTATGAATGCTAAATTCTAAATACAACTATATTGTTGCGGAACATTTTAAAAGCAAGTGCTTCCCTTATAAATGTTTCCTTTAAATACAAATGGGAACACTTAATTATATGTGTTCTACCATATCATGGTAGCTTATATAGTTGATAATTAATACCAATATGTTTGAGTCAACTGTGCTTATTTGTATAAGTAACTCTGTAAAGTCACTCCTATATGTGTAGTTATCTATTTTCTGTGCTTTAAAAATAAATACTTTTATGCAGGCCATAATGTTTAAAATATAGAATTTAAAACATTATATGAATTTACACAATATAAATCTATTGACAGTTTAGAAAGATTTAAATGTTTATTCCTAGTCAAACATTATTGCACCCACAAGAAAAAAGTTCAAATATGTATACAAATGCATAAAGTACTTAATTTCCATTTTAAATTTATAGCTAATATTTTTATTGCATTTCTGTAAAATCTTTTAAAGTAAGTGCATTTTTTAAATGGTGTGGTATCATTTGAAAACACAGTTTTTAATTCAAGGGAAGAACCAATATTCATCTTGATGATTATACTGAAACATTTGATATGAATTCATCTTAAATAAGTAGATTATCATCTAGAAATTGTTTGTTTCACTTACAATTTTAATTTTACAATAATGATATTGAATATAAGAACTACTTCCATATTGTGTGCATTTTTAAAAATCTTGAGTTTGGTATGCTCCCTACAGAAATTCGACGGAGTGAGAGCCTGTCAGAAAAACAGGTTAAAGAAGCCAAGTCTAAGTGTAAAAGCATTGCCTTGCTCCTGACAGCAACTCCTACCCCCAGCTCCAAGGGGGCGTTAATGTTTAAGAAGCGTCGCCAGAGGGCAAAAAAGTACACTTTAGTCAGCTACGGCACTGGGGAGTTTGATCCCGACGACGATCAAGAGGACTCCATAGAATTCACTCTGGTACCAACCAGTGATTCAGATCTTGACGAGGATTTTTGTGCTGATGTCAACTCAGCTCAGGTTGTGACGTTTGATTGGGACACAGGTTTAGTGGAAGTTGAAAAGAAAGAGAAGACAGAGGACGAAATGCAGAGATTGCCAGATAGCAAGGGCAAAGGTGCCTTGTTGTTTGCCAAGAGGAGACAAAGGATTGATCAGTACACAGCTGAGCAAGAGGAAATGAGGAGAACAGGAGTGAATGAAACTGCCTCCACTCACACTGTAAAAACAGAAAATCATTTCCAAACAACAAAAAGCGGCTTGTATGATTCATCAAACATAATACAAAATCATGCCGCTGAAAATTACATTGATGTAAGTAAGTTACATGGAACTGAAAATGTCTATGGAGGGAGGGGGAGATCTGAAATGATGATCCAGGACTTGAAGTCTGCTGAAACTAGTAGAGCGGGTGCGACGAACAGAACAGCGACGCCATTCCCTGGCGTGCAAAATCGAACTGCAGCTCCCTTCTCTCCTACAAGAAATGTGGCAAGTTCCTTGTCAAGTTTCCCTCCCCCTCCACCTTATTCTTCCATCAGTCCACCACCCGACAATATCCATCGCGTTGCATCTCCTCCTTTGGCCGCCGTGACTCAACCAGCCAAATGGTCACCAACGGGAATTGCAGGAGAGCAGATAGCCTCCAGAGATGAGAGAATCTGTGTACCTGCAATAAAAACTGGCATTTTACAAGATGCAAGAAAACGGAACACTACAAAACCCATGTTTACATTCGTTGACCGTCCTAAGGTAGCTCCAAATCCAGAACTCCTGTCAATGGTCAAAGGTAAGACAGACCAACGTAGAGGAGTAGATCAGCCTGGTGGAGGTTTTGAGTCAGGACCTGAAGAAGATTACCTTAGTTTAGGCGCAGAAGCATCAAATTTTTTACAGATACCAGCAGTAAAGCAGAAGAAACCACCTCCAGTTGCACCAAAGCCATCTGTTAAGAGCCCTCCTACTGGGCCAGACCCAACATTACCTCCGTTATCACCTACAGAAGTCACCAGTGCTCAAGCTCCAGTCCATTCTTCTAAGAGTGCTAAGCAGATGCCTGTAAAATTGCATTCAGTTCAACCAGTTAATACACGGTACCAGTCCCAAGGTGCTGCCAACCAGTTTGTATCTTCAACTGGACCCCGATCAGTAACATCAACACATTCATATCCTTCAAAAACACCACCCACAACTCCCATAGCAAATTCTGCACCAGCTGGAGGTATGGGTCCAGCCTATGAGATGCCAGCTTTGAAAGGTAAAGGAGCGCAGTTATTTGCAAGGAGACAATCTCGCATGGAGAAATATGTAGTAGATTCATCAACAGTCAAAGCCAGACAAGCACGGTCATCATCCCCCACCCCTTCCATGCCAGCATCTTGGAAGTATTCATCCAATATAAGAGCACCTCCCCCTTTGGCTTACAATCCTATTCATTCTCCATCTTATCCTCCTGGCATTTTGAAAGCACAAGCACAATCTGCATCTTCATCTAAGTCAAATAAAGGTGCCAAAGGTAAAGGCACTAAAAAACCTCTCAATGCTTTGGATGTCATGAAGCACCAACCATATCAGCTTAATTCATCTTTGTTCACTTTTTCATCCACTCCTGATGCTAAGACACCTCTATCCACAAGCTCATCACTTTCTAAGCAGTCCATAAAATCTGATCCTGTTCCACTTCAACCAGTTAATGCTACATATCCTGTTTCTAAGAGTGTCTCATCTGTGTCAACAGGACCGTCTTTCAATCAAGCCAGTACAGCTTCTGCTGATGAGGAGTATGTCTGTTCTTCTGGAAAGAATGCCCTTGTACCCCCAAGTTATGCATCATATCCAAAGCATGAATCAAGTGCTCTGTCAGTTGCCATGGCACCAAGACCAAAGTTTTCAGCAAAGAAAGTGGGCGTCACAGCACAGGTGTGGAAACCCTCTACCATTGTGGAATAATATAATTAATGAAAGACAGCAATAATTTCCCCTTGTGTTATTTATAATTAATTTTGCTATGATGTAGAACTGGAGTTAGTAGCAGTTTTAAAAGAACACTATTTTCTACACTTCTCTTCAGTAGATCTTTTAATAACCTTTGTTGAAATTTCTACTGTTTAGGGAGTCTGAACAGTCAGCCACTTAAAATGTACCTCCTCTCTTTCAAATAGAGCATAAGTCATCTCTACTCACCTTTTTTTAAAAAAAATACTTGGAAGTGAAGAGGTGAGTAGAAAAATACTAATAATTCCAGCAGTATATTGCCTTGAAAAATATGACATAAGAGATGTATGATTGTATTAAGTTTCCTCACAGTAGGTCTTGGGTAAATCTGTGCTGCCCCAATGAAAATATTCAGGTCCTCAGCAACTCAAGAGAAAGGATAACTAGAGAAGAATGTATAAAAGTTATAAAGTACTTTAACTGCAATCCAATGGAAAATGTGAATCAATTTTGATGCAGGAACTTTTTACTTTCGATACGTTGTTGAACTTATGAGTAATGGTTCCCTTGTTCATCAGGGAAACAAAAAGAAATCTGGCAAAGAAGGCATTGTTTGATGATGTGATATAAGTACAAGGCTTCTGTCTTCTGTCTCCTCAAACACGGGCTCCCGCTGCAACAGCAGGAAACTGCTAGACAAATACCAAAGTCGATATAAATCAGAGAGCCAGAAAACCAATTTCAGATGCAATTATTGCTGAGTATATGCACAGTGTGTAATGATTCAACACATTCTGCCTGATATAAACCTGAAGGTTAGGATAACATATAAAGTATGTCTTACCACTAACTAGGATGTTTTAAAACATTAGTTGTGGGTAAGTGGGTAGCATTGTTACCTCACAGTCACAAGAGAAACTTGAGCCACAAAAAACCTACACTAATGCTACTGAGCAAGAGTAGCACTGAACGAGTGCTGCAGTGTGGGAGGTGTCTTTTTCAAACAAAATATTAAACTGAGGCCCTATTTTCAATCTGAAGTCAATTTCAGAGATCGCTTGATTTCATAGAAGAGCAGGGGAATTACACTGGGACGCTGGCTAATATTTATCCATCAATAACCACCACTAAAATAGGTCAACACAGTGCGGAGCTGGAGAAACACAGCAGGCCAGGCAGCATCAGAGGAGCAGGAAAGCTGACGTTTCGGGTCGCAACCTTTCTTCAGAAATGAGAGGGGGGAAGGGGGCTCTGAAATAAATAGAGAGGGGGGCGCAGTGATAGCAGGTAGATAGTGGAGCGGATAGATGCGAGAGAAGACATTCAGGTCAAGGAGGCGGGGATGAAGCTAGTAAAGGTGAGTGTAGGTATGTAGGGGTGGGGATTGGTCAGTGAGGTGGGAGGAGCGGATAGGTGGGAGGAAAGATGGACAGGTTAATGAGGTGGGGATGAAAGGGTGGGCTGGTCTTGGGTTGAGGTCGGGGGTGGGGAGATTTTGAAGCTCGTAAAGTCCACATTGAGACCATTCTACTCCGCCCTATCAGACATTAAAAACCACAGTCTCCCGAACCTGCAAAGGACCTCTTCTGTTTTTCATTCTTCGCAGGTTCCACAACCTCAACTTACGATTCTACTCCGCCCTATCGGACATTAAAAACCGCAAGCAGTTCCTACTGTCTTTGACTAAAATAGGTTACTTATTCCTTGCCACTGCTGTTGGTGGGAACTTCCTCTGTGCACGTTTGGCTGTTGTGCTTTCTAGATTACAACAGTGACTGCAATTCAGAAGTTCTTCGTTGGCTGTCAAGTGTTTTGTGATGCCCTGAGATTGTGAAAGATACCATGCAAATGAAGTCTTTACTAGTTTAATTAACTCAGTTCACATTTTCTGTTCTAAGACATTTTTGTGGTTTTAATATGTTTTACTACTATCTTTTATTTGTTGTATTTTAGCTGTTTTCACTTCTGCCTGTACAACTTTCAAAAAAAGGTTACAGTATCATTCAACTAAAAAGTAACACAAATTTTGTTCTATCCTTCCTTCTGCTAAGGAAAGGCATTACACATTTTGGCTTTGAGTCCATGAAAATGTACAAATTTAATTAGTTACACAGACTTTTCTTGCTGATGGATGTTACTGATAGCATCATTACTTCTGGCTGTTGTTATTTTCTCATTATAATTTCTTCCTGTCATGTACTTGCTGTATTCTTCTTCACTGTACTATTAAAGTCCCTATTTTGAGTTTACATACTTATTTACTTTCAGCTCTATTTCTTTCCCTTTGTGAAATAAGCTTCAGTTTTATGCGGCAACAGAGTCACAGGAAGCAAATATGCAATAGCAGCAAGTGCCAGCTCAACGTTATGATCTCCAAACAGAATTTTATAAATAAGTCCAAGGCTGGTGTGAAGGCTGCAATAGGAATTGTAAATTGGCAAAGTCTTTGCCTGCTGCAGCACATCCTATTGGTCTGACAGCATGCTCCCCTAATAGTGAATTGGCAGCATAGCCAGATAATGATAGTAGGTGACAGCTGGGTCCTGTCAAAGTCAGTCAAAAAATTGTGCTGCGTGACTTGTAACAACAGATATCTGTGCATAGAGAAGTAAAAAGACAAGGAATCACTTAAAAGTGACTAAAACAAATCACAAAAAGAAGAGTAATTATCACGTTTCATCTTAGTAAGGTATTCAATAAAAAAAAGATCATTATATATTTGTATTATTTGACAATCTAGAAATTATATGATTTTAGATCAACTATTTAATGTACTATTTATTAAGTATTTCAGGGAGTCTATCACAGCACTTCCATTTGCTGTGATTTCCTTGCATTAAAATATAGACAGAAAAACGGCATGATTTTCTCATATAAACTTTTTAGGAAGACTGCAGATCATTGGGAATAATTTTCCCTTTTGCTTTTAAAAGTAATGCATTGAATGTATTATTTTAGATTACTTTTCTAAGTGAATTAAGCAGTATGATTGATATGACATTAGTACACAGTACAGAAACAATAGGTTGTGTTTATATTCAAACACAAGATATCCTGTTGCTGTCTACTAACCTATTTTCATTTGCTAAGAACAGTGTGAGATATATTTTACTGAGGCTGAAATGTTGATTTACTAAGTGTCAGGGCAAAAGACAGTTATCCATACATGTGGGATGATTAATATGATTTCAATGAAGAACAATTTTTGTTCTTCCTATGCTGAAATCTGGGGCTGATAAGATTAAATCTAAATTGAACACGTTAAAATGTACAAATTGAAGTCTATCCCTCACTTTTTTTTTAAATGGTATACTTTATGAAAGAAGAATAGTTATATTCCTTTGTATTCACACCATCTTCTCACCTATCCCTGCTCTTCAGACAGAATAAGGGCCAGAAAGGCTGCATGTTTGGTCTTTGGCCTTTACTGAGTTAGAAAGCACTGCCAGCTGCAGTAAAAGCAGAACACACCAAAATAGCCTGTGCTGACAGTACCTGATGGATTTTGCTCTCGATGGGATCAAGATCTCCTTCCCATGTCCATATACCTTTGTGAAGGAATATAATTGACAAGAAATTGAGCAGGAAAAGAATTACTACAATTAATGATAGTGATTTGACAAAGAATTTCTTTCTAAGTAATTACCAGTCTTCACATCTATGTTCATGCATTTGCCTTCTATATATTTTGCTTTATGATTTAAAAGTAACATGAAATGTACATAGTTATTATATCTGAAATGTACATCCAAATGAATTTCCTGGCATCGTTAGAAAACGCGCAGATCTTGGTGATTTGTGAAGTGATTTCTCAGGACAGTGCTTTCAGATAACCTGCCCAGGAACAATTGATCAATTTGTCCAGTATAGCTTTATGGATTAATTTCTAGGTCTTGTGATTCTACTTCATTTTCTTATTTCATTTCTTACTTGTTTTACTTTTTGCTTTCTATTCTGTATCTTGGAGTGTAGTTATGAGTTATATTCTAAATTATCTGATGTCTGTTTCCTTCCACTGAACATGCCTGTGCCTATTCATGATAAATAAGACAGAATATTGTGAGTCTTAAACAGATCTGAAACACATATTCAATCATGAGGCATTACTTGTTTGCTGCTGTGACATTCATCCAATGAATAACATGAACTCTATAATAAAAACCAAAAGAACTGCGGATGCTGTAAATCAGGAACAAAAACAAAGTTGCTGGAAAAGCTCAGCAGGTCTAGCAGCATCTGTGGAGGAGAAAACAGAGTTAATGTTTCGGGTCCGGTGAGAAGGGTCACCGGACCCGAAACGTTAACTCTGTTTTCTCCTCCACAGATGCTACTATGAACTCTATAATACCTGGATTATACTGAAACTGGAGGCATTCACAAGGCACATTAAATTGAATGTCTCAATATTTTGAGGGTTATAATGTTATGTTTACATTAGTTTCAGGTATTTTCCAATGGCGAAACCATTTATGGATTTTCATCTTAAATTTAAACCAACGGAAATAGGTGAAACAAGGTAACTCTATCTTACAACATAGCTTTCGAAATGTGAGCCTAACCATTGGAATACATCTTCTGAAATGGTCTTGTTTCCACAAAATTTAATTGAGACAATTAGTCACTGGGGGGTAATTCAGACATTATGTGATTGTATGAAATTGGGGATTTTATAGCTCTTTTAGTTAATTCATACAGTCATAGAGTCGGAGTCATACAGCACAGAAACAGACCCCTTGGTCCAACCAGTCCATACCAAACATAATTCCAAACTAAACTAGTCCCACCTGCCTGCTCCTGGCCTGTATCCCATTCATGTACTTATCTGAATGTCCTTTAAATGTTGTAATTGTACCCGCATCCACCACTTCCTCAGGAAGTTCATTCCACACGCGAACCACTCTGTGTAAAAAATTTGCCTCTTATGTCTTTTTTTAAATCTCTCTCCTCTCACCTTAAAATTGTTCCCCCTAGTCTTGAAATCCCCC